AGTGGCAAAATGTTTTTATGGAAACAAGAATTTTATGGAAACCTGTAGATCAATGTAAAAGTACAAACTTTTTTGTGGCTATGTTGCTCTGCTGTGAGACACAGGATTTAGACTTGTCTCTATTAAGAATTAAGGGAGGAGGGAGAAACAAGGTGAGAAAGAAGAGACTAGGAAGCAATTTCCCATTCATGAGATCAAATAACTATTAAACAAACAAATAAATAAATAACGTATTAGATAAAATAAGAATAAGAAGTGAAGTGTGTTATATGAGCAGGTGAGACAGTGGAGAATAGTAAAAGGTTCCCTTGAAAATATATAAAATACGTAAATACGCAGCGTATACTCATTTTCACGTGTGTCGCATGGGTTCCATATGTAGACCATCTTCTCTCTGGAGCCAGCTCCATGCTCTTCATGCCCAATCCCCAGCGCCTAGTCTGTTGTGGGCGCTCAATAAATATTAAACAACCAAAGGACAAACTATTGTTTAGAAATTTAGAATTCACAGAAATCCATAGTAAGTTGTTATTATCATTTAACATTTATTGAGAGTCAACAGCACGACTTAGTCCACATGTGCAAACAGGTCGTTTTATAATCACGTGTCAAACAAATCACTTAATACAACTTGTGTTAACTAAGTGCTCAGTTTTACTCCATTAATCTTAATTGTAAAATCGTTTTCCTTTTTAAGACAATATTGACACATCATGAAATATAAACATCCATCATTTAAATAAATAAGTTCCTTTCATGGAAATCATTACTCTCAGATATTATTAACATTCATGTCAAAATCTGAGCTAAAACTGAAATAGGTACACATCACAGATTCTACATAGACCAGTGCAGATACAAAAAATAGAAGAATCTGAAAGGTGGATGAGGATGAAATTACAAATCATGTAATAGTACTCGAGCTTCCCCTGTTGCTATGACAATTTAAAACACTAATACAATTATGTAGGGTCTCATTGTTTACAAAATAGCATCAGAGGCAAAGACAGACAGAAATGCTTTAGGTGAACACAAATTGGCAAATTTATGAATTTAGAAACACTTCTTAATTTAAGGCAAAAATGCTGTTTTTATTATAGGAAATAAACTGCATTAATACATTTATGAACCACATTTTAAAATTTTACCCTTTATAAAATGATAAAGGGTAAATAAGCACTCTATTATTTGGGGGGTTAATAAGCACTCTATTCTATTTAATATCTTTTCATAAATATTTTTGTCAGGTTTATACTTAACTGGAGTGTGTTTTTCTCTAGCCTCTTAGAGATAAAAGTCCTTCTAGACCAGCCTTCCCTTAAAGAAGAATAGCTTCTATATTCTCAGAAATATGCTACTTAAAAACTCTGTGGAATAGACAATTTTGATATTTGGAAGGAATAAGAGATAGTTTAGTTCTGCTTCCTAATTGTATAAGTAGGAAAAGCAAGCATAAGGCTTAACATTTCAGTCTTTAGACTCATACATTGTCCTCATTGACAATGGTTTTATTTTTCTCTTCTACTTTGTTTTAAAATATAGTTTTAATATAATAATTACAATTATTAAAATTTGATATTTTCAACATCTTTAACCAGATGACTGCGCATACAGTTTTATTTATGTAAGAGCATTATCTATAAATACCACAACATTAATGGTATAATTCATTAATAATGCATATGTATTAATTTTTCTCTACTATTTCTACTTTCAAGTGGGAGTATTTGGAGGATTTAATCATTTATCATCTGGTTTCTGAACTATTTGGCAACCTCCACTATTGGAAATCACATTTTGATTTACTAAAATATTCTCAGTTGCACAGTATTTATGGAGGCACAGCTCGCTAAAGCCCGGAAACCTAATATTTCTTTCTACAGCAGTTCCTCTATGTTTTCATTTACCCCATAAATATTCATTAGACACTTAGTGTATGGCAGCACTATTTATAAGCTCTCAGAACTGACTTTCAAAGAAGAACTTAAATGATGTCATACACAGGTATGAATGAAAGGAAAGATGATTTGAGAGTAATTTAACTTATTACTATTTATTTCACCTTTTCATTGTTGAACTTAAGCCACTTTGAAGGAAAGCATATTAAAATCAAAGAGATTCTGGGACTCCAATCTATCACTCAGGTCTTTAAAGTTGATTATTCTGACTGGCCTCCTCCCTTTCCTCGGTAAGTAGCAAGACCCTGGATGCTTCCTGAGAGTGACTGTTTTGCTTTCCTGACTAGCAACTAGCAAATGTTATTAAAGCTTTTCTTCTCAGAAAAAGTTGTATTGAAAAAGAGAGAGGAGAGTGGGATTTAGGAAGGCAGGTTGATTCTGGAAAGGAATATCAAGGAGGCAAATATGCACTATATATGAGAAATGATCAACAAATGAATAAACTGAGCTTAATGAAAGGTGATATACTTTTTCTAGACATAATATACAAATGTATAAAGATGAATTCTCACACAAGAACATATGTTTTATCTTTAGCAGTCCTCAGTTCTCACTCTAAAAAGAGTAACATTTATAGTGGAAAATATTTGTTTCTCCTGAGGCTTCTAAGTAACTGCTTTCTAAACAGGAGAATAGTTAATGGTGTATGTGTGTGAGTGTGTGTGTGTGTGCATGTGCATGCACCTTAACATGAAGGAATTTATAAAGAGGTTCTTAATGCTCAAAACTGTATTCTAGCAAATTTATGATCTTTATGAGAAGAATAGCAAACACACATGATGCATCATTATTTAGAGATAGAATTACAAGTGTGGACTGTTGCAGTAATTAGATGAACTAAATTCCTATCTATGATATAACCTGAGTTTGCAAAGTTACATTAACACAAAGTTCATTTCATCTTTCACTACCCAAATTTCCTACAGAACATAGTTTAATCAATATTTGCTGTTTCTCAAATTATAGTGTAAAGTCCAGAAGTTCAGCATACATAATTTTACATAGATCCTGAAGGATATTTGACATCCATAAAGAATTATGAAAATTATAAAGTTTTCTCTCTTGTACAAGTTCTTAGTTAAAACTTAAATCAATAAAAAATAACTATAAAGTATTTTATTGTACTTCAGTGCATTATGAACTAGTTTGAGATTATGTATAATTTGGATGATAACTAAAAACTACACTAAAAAGTTACATAACAGCCTCAAAGCATTATCCTATGAATAAATATTTGAAGCATTATGATGAAATCTACAAGATGCCATTGATTTATTCTCACATGAACTCTCTGCTTTATTAAATCACAAAATACTTATTTTCATATCAATTATTAGTCATAGATATACCATCACAAAATATGCAAGTTATTCAAATACTCTATTTTTATGACTTTTATAGTTAAAAATTATGAGACCACTGCTTTACAATATTTAAAACTGAAATGGTATATTAAATCAATATAAGAAAGCCATTGAAATCATCTCTAAGATTTTTTACATAAGCCAAGAGCTTAAGGTCTTCATAAGATAAAGTGTATTGTTAATTAAAAATGAATTACAAAATCACCTAAAGCAGTAAGTTTATATCTCTAAAAGCCACCTGCAATCTCCTGTCAACTTGAGGAAACATTATAGAATGAATAAAACTGACACTCACATGAAGGTAAGAGGAAATGAACAGCTTGTGCTTACTTCAGTTACCTTTTAGGTACTATTATTAGTGTAGCCATTAAATATTCTAATCAATCTAATATGTGGTGGCTATCAAAGAAATCTATAAAAGCCATAAAAATGAGTAATCAGTGCCTTTATATTACATAGGAGAAAAGTATGAAGCTTAGTGAAATCAAAGTAATTTGACAGTTGCTCTCAACTATAATAAAGCTGACTTTATAAGGAAAATGCTTAAGTAAATACTATATGTTTATCTAGGAGTTTATAATTTTTCATATTCTTTCACACATTTTCTTTTTTTGGTTCTACATCTTGTCAGGTAAGCAAGTCAGATAGTTACTAGGCTCAGAGCATGGACCCAGTGCTCCTATTCCTCCGCTTTCTATTTCAGAAACGAAAACATCCACTTCAAAAGAAGTCAACAAAAACAGTTTACTGAACTCTAAAATTCCAGATATTCCCCAGGAATCAAAATGAATTTGAAACCTTTTTCAATGTTATTTTTACTTAGAAAGGCCCAAAGAAATAAATTCTTTACTAATTATCTTAACTGAATCCTTAACCTTAACTTAATGGAATCTTTAACCTTAGTTTACCTATCTATAATGTAAGGAATTGAAGAATATTTCAAAATTTCTAATATTGGAAATGTAATTGCATCTCAAATTTAAGAGTAGAAATTATTTTGACATTTTTCTTGATAAAAATGATTGCTAGATCTCATTTTATTATATTAAATAATAAATATTATGATATAATATATAAAATGCCAAAAATGGGGGGCAACAATTAAAATTATTCGTACTGTGACCTCTAAAAGAAGACCTATCATCATTTTAAATGTTTTAACTCTACTGCGCTGTAGCATTTTTTTCTCAAACATATTCTGGAGTGATATGTATGTTACATAGCTGTATAAATAAAAAGAAAAATGTATTATTTGTGGCATTATGACATATAAACTTAAAATTTCATGCCTCTTGGGAGAAAATGGAATTGGCTCATGTTTATTTTTTTAAATATTTTTGGTCAGATGTTGCTAAAACCACAATTCAAACTTAAAACTATCTACCAGTTGCCCTGGATCATTCCCTTATTCCCAACAATCTTCTCATTTTTTGTGATGTCATTAGGCAGACTGTGGAGTTTTCCTGTTCTAAACTTATCTCCAAAGTTTAGTTATACAAAGGAACAAAACCCAGATTGCTGCCTCACCTTCTCCTGGCACAGAAAACATGCAAGGCCAGTGACAGAGAGCAATAGATTTAAAGGTAATTGTCTTCCGCCTGTCTGAGTCCAGTGCCGTTCTCCTCATGCTGTTGTCTTTCTAAAGAAGATAATGTCAAACTGCTTCATTTTTTTTTACCTTGCTCCACTGTCTTGGTTGTTTTCTCTTCCTTCTTTCCAGGTGCAGCTGCAAAGCAGAGATAAGGATTAAATAAAAGTTCCTCATAGACCTGCTGCTTCTGCTCAAAAAAGCATTTTAACCTATTCAACACCAATATTTTTGTTTAAATAAGCTATGTCAAAGCGTTTGAACATTTCTTATTTCTCACTAATCCAATGGAAACTCATTTGAAATGTAGTCTTATAGAATTAGAGAAAAAATCGCTTGCCTTTTTTCTGACTAGTTTTTCACAACTGTTTTCTTCTTCACTCCTCTATATTGTACTTTCATAAATATGTTCTACAAAGAATTCTACTTGACAAGATAATGATTAATCGACTTGCACCACAGGTTGCAAGAGTTATTGCTGGAGTTATTTAGTGTCTTTAAAATGCCAACTAGATGCTCTTTTACATTCAAGCTTAATATAGCTTCAGCAACTGAAAGGACAGTGTAGTCCACCTGAGATGTATTTAATTAAAGAAAGTCATCCCAAATCACAAGTAATCAAAAGAGAAACAAGATTATCATTTAGGTGCTGCTTCCTCTGAATTACAATTTCTCTGATATTTATTTGCCTCAGTGGAATATCCACGGTTTACCTATTTACACATCAAAATAGTAAGAATAATTCACACAGAATGTGCAACCCATTGAAATTTATCTAAGCAAAGATCTTCAGAGGCTACTAAGAACTTTTAGATAAAAGATAAGTGGGGAACTGAATATTGTAATTACAGCCAAGTACCCCAATACAGAGTTGCCAGAGTGAAAAATGCAACTTTGAATGGGGCTGTCACCAATCTAAGCCATTGATAAAACTTAGAATCATTCATTCATAACAGGACATCCAGACTTTCTGCGCTTCCTAATGACATGATCTGTGATGGATTCACTATAACCTCTGAAATATTCTTGACAAAACAACTAAAATCATGGTAAGCCAAAGATTTAACTCGCAGTTTAATCAAATGCAGGATATAGAGAACATATTAAATAGTAGTCCTAAGAAACCTATTCCAAAGATACAATCAGAGCATTAAAATATGTCCACAGGGTAAGTGGCCATGATCTTCCCAAAAAGTTAAAGTGAAGACCCTACTTTCAGGGATGATGTTTATAGTTTGTTACAAAAAGTTAATGTGAAGAACCAGAGAGAGAGAACTGCAGTGCTTTTTTACAGAAAACTTGTTAAATTCACTCATTAGTTATGAGAGTTCATCTGTACATTCTTTTGAATTTTTCAAGTGATAATTTCATCTGTGAGTAATGAGTTTTATTCTTACTTTTCTATTCTTGTACCTATGACTTCTTCTCACCTTAATCCACAGCTGCAATATCCAGTACACTGTGTAATAGGTGGTGATAGCATACATCTTGTTTTGTTCTCGTTCTCAGGAGAAAATTTATCCACTTTTTTCCACTGACCATGATATTTGCTAAAGGAAGATCTTTACTGCTCTAGTGATGAATTATATCAAATGCATCTACTATGCTGCATTTATTTACTGCTATCTTATTTTTCTGGTTAATTATATTGACTAATTTTTTGAAATTGCATTCCTGAAATAAAACCATCTTGCTTGTGTTTTATCTATTATATATATTATCAGACTTCATCTGCTCAGGTCTATGCTTTCAGGTTCACAAGAGAAGTTAGCCTGTATATTTTCTTTTCTTTTCACTTCCTGGTAGGTTTTGATATTAAGGTTAAAAGGAGTAAATGTTTCTCATCTTTTATATTTGGAGGGTTTGGTGCAGATTGTTCATTTTTTTCTTAAAGTTTTGAAAAAAAATTGTGACTGAAGCCATCTGGCTAAAATTTTCTTTGGTGATGAATTATAATTATGGATTCAAAATATCAATGAAATTTAAATTTTCAAACTCATTAAAACATTTATATTTTATTATCTGTAGGATCTTTGTTTATTTTCTGATATTGATGTTTTGTGAATTCTCTCTTTTTTCTTAATAATTTTTCATAAAGGTCTCTCAATTTTATTAGTTTTTATAAAGAATCTTACATTTTGTTGCTTTCTCTGTGTACAATTCAATTTTCATTTAGTTAGTTTTTGCTCTTACATTTAAAATTTCTAATTGCTTTTGATTTTATGCTCCATACATTTAAGAATTTATTGGATTCTTAATACTTGAATTTTAGCCTTTTTCCTGATTCTTATTATTTATTTATTTATTTAATTGTTGTCCAGGTACAGTTGTCTCCATTTTCTCCCCACAAATCCCCCCACTCTACCCCTCCCCACCTCCCACCCTTGATTCTATCCCCCTTGGCTTTGTCCTTGTGTATTTTATACATGTTCCTTGATGACCCTTCCCCTATTTTCTCCCCATCATCCCCTCCCACCTCTCCTCTGGTTACTGACAGTTTGTTCTTTACTTCTGGTGTGTCTGAAATATATTTTGCAAGCAAAATATAACCAGTGTGTCTGGTTAATTTTGCTTGCTTGTTTGTTTTGTTGACTAGGTTCCACTTATAGGTGAGATCTCTCCAAAATATACAAAGAACTCACACAACTGAGTTCTTTGGAAGAACTAGGAAGTTCTCCATTCTAGGAAGACAAACAACCCAATTTAAAAAATGGGCAAAAACCTGAACAGATACTTTCCCAAAGAGGCCATACAGAGGGCATTTTCTTCTAATGAATATTTTTAAAGGGTATAAATTTCACTCTAAACATTGCTCAGTTAAATCCCAAATTCCAATGCGATATATTCATCATACATTGGTTTGAAGATTCCCACAGAAAAGATATGAAATAATCTAAAAATAAAGATTAGGCCAATTGTAGAAGGACTCGAATCACAAAGTAAAGAGCTAGATTTTATTACATATGATTGGTAAGGAGTTACTAAGACGTGCAGTACATTAGTCTCCTCCACTAATGCTCTCTCTCAAGTCAACATGAAAATAGAACACTGAAGATCTGCAATTATAATAGATCTTGGGCATATAGTTTTATTCATAATTTTTCTATTGATAAAACATTATTAATATTGTGTAGAAAATATGCATTTTTATTTAAATCCTCTAAAGAGTAAATGCCTTTCAGAAAAATCACTGGAATGTGACTTACACATAAACACTAAGGTTTGTTTTTAATTATTTGTGCATAACTCCTTGCACGCATGTCATGTAGAAGAGACTAGTCTTCCCCAGTGCTGCTCTCTGTTACTCAGAAAAGGTCACTGAAAATGCCAAATATTTACACACAGAAAAAGACATTTTGCATAAAATAGTGATCCTTTTATTTCTTGTTCTGATGTAAAATTCATCAATCCCAATTCTATGGACAATAAATGTTAGCAATAAATAGCTCATCCAAGTGGATTTGCCAACTGCTTTGAATCAAAAGACCTTAATCAATTTTTCTTTCAAAACCACAAGGTTGCTGCAGCCTCCTGTGGTGCTAAGGGAAGAGATTTTCTTTTCTCTACATTTGGAGGGGTTTACTTAAAAAACAAAAAAGTAGACATGTATTGCGCTCCTTCAGGGATCTCAACTAATAGGAAGAAAACAAAGCAGCTGAAATTTGCTGGAAAGAAACATTTCATGAACTTCTGAAATGACAACACAGAATTGGAAATCTTTGAGGTAAAAGGACAGAGCTTCAACCCAGAGGGTGACATATCACACAAAGAGAGATTATAGAATGAGAAATTCAGAGCATTCATAATGGATTCTGGGAACATCAATAATTAAGATGCAGCAAGGTGAAAAAACATACAAAGAAGTAAGAAAGAAATGTCAGAGAATATGAGGACAACCAGGAGACTATGTTGTCATGGCAAACCAGATGTAGAGAGTCTGAGAGAGGGGACAAATCTAGTAATGTGGAGACTAGAATGGTTTCACTGGTTTAATGATGATAATGTCATCAGCATTAGCAAGAGCATGGATGATGGAGGTGGGATAGAAACCTCATCTTCATGGAAAGTGAGAAAGGACGATGGCTCTTCAGCATTTAGATGACTGACTGACCTGTGGAGGAAAGAAAATTATAGAGCAATAGGGATGTAGAAAAAGTAATTTTGAAGCTGATGATAATGTTTCCAAAATGAGGAACAAAGCCAATAACAAGGAAGGTGATGCCACAAAACAGCACGGATGATGATTAAGGAAGAAACAAATGAAACGAACAGCAGATCTCGAAAAGAAGGACAAACACTTAGCTCTGAAATTAAGAAAGAGATGGATATAGATTAAACAGGAACACCAAGCTGCTCTTCTATTTCTGCTTTTATTCCCAGCAACTTCCTTGTATCTGTTACTTCTTCCCTCAATCAGTTTGTCATTCTTTAGCTTTAACTTGTGCCACTCCTCTGAAAGTTCTCTTTTGAAAATTATTAATAACTGTCTAGTTGAGAAACCCAATGATTTGATGACCACCACCTTGTCATTGAAATGGTTTATAGGTTTATGTATGTGCGCATGTGAGTGTATACTGAGAATGAATTAATTAAATTGTCTCTTTATATACTTCCAAAGACATTGGATACATTCCTCATTTGATTTCTGTCTATTTGTAAAATAGAGTAAAAAATTTCAGAATTGTTGTAGTTTATTCTTAATTGGGAATATGTAAAACTTTTGATCCTGCTGATTATTTTTAATGTAATTAATGTTCTTAAACATATAAACTGTCTTCAATATTCACATAATTAGTTACTTCTGATTCAACAAGAGAAACAGTTTTGAAAACTTAAATTTCAAACTTCCTATATGTTCCTTTTTCATTGTCGTTCAGTTACAGTGGTCCTGCCTTCTCCCCATTGCTCTACCCTATCACATCCCCCTACTCCTACAGTCAATCCCCCCATTGTCCTTTGCTAACTCAAACTTCCTAATATGTTTCTTAAAAAAATGTTTCCAAGTGAGTATTCCAAAAAATACATTTTTCAATTTGATGTTATTCTTGCACAAATGAACATTGTTCATGTAAGTTCTACTTGTCAAAGTCTCATTCATTTGTTTGAGCTCCAGCCACCTAAGGTTGTATATTTCAGTTGAATGCCCTCCAGGTGACTGGGATCCCACTGAGCTTGAACAGCTGCATTTCTTCAATTTTTCAAAAACTAACTTGCAATTCAACTGAAATTGCCAGTTTTAGTTTATGGCCCTAAAGGAATAAAACTATCGGTGTTAGAACACTGAAGACAAAGCCTTGTTAATATAGACACTATAAATTTTGTGCACAGTGAGTTTGTTGTCATATCAATGAATAGAAAAATCAATAAATAGAGCTCTTCTATGAGCACTGAAGAATAGATCGTTAGAAATCTTTGCAGAAATAAGTTTGAGTCATGACACCCTTTTCTTTAAGTTGCATTTACCTTTTTTAGTTGAGGCAGCACCAACCTCTTCTTTGGTTCGATCAATTTCTGCAAATTCAGATATTAAAGAGTGAGAAATAAATATTATAGATGCCAGGTAGATATCTTATAGTATTGTAAGTGAGACAAGGTTAAACTGTCCAGCAGATAAGAGCAAAGCCAGCAGCCGAGAAAACCAAACTATAGCATGCTTGTATTTTCATAAACTAATGAACTTTGTTTTATATAGTAATACAGAAACTTTCTTCCAAGAAACAACAAAGAAGTATTAAAATTTTAGCTTATGTAAGTAGTGAGCATAAAAGAAGGTAGCTAATTCCACAAAATACACTAATTTAAATACACAAATTTAAAATGATATGAGTTATTGGAAAGAAGACTTGCAAGGCCTACTTTGCTTAGTCTTTGTGGGGATATCAAGCAGTATTTGATTTCAATCAATTAGCTTTATACTATAAGAGGTTAACCATAATATAACACAAAATTCTATTCAAATATTGCTTTGTAGGAGAAAAAATAGAATTAAGAAGGCCAGAATGCCTTCTTGGAGATTCTCTGAATAGCTAATGTGGAAGGTAGGGGAGCTGTGTTTTATACATGATCTGAAATGCTGGTCCTGCTACAAACTTTTGAACCTCAGGTCAAGGCTTAATAAAATTGAAGGTTTTTCTCATCCATAGGAAAATAAGAAAAATAAGAATGAGTTGGTAAAATTTTATCAGCCTTCTCTTCCCTCCTCAAACTTCCAACATCCTGTAACATAGAGACAAGTTGCTGTTGGGAAATTCACTGAAAAGACACCAGCAGATTGGACTGCTTCATCTTCTCACCACCTCTCCAGCACACACTGGCACCATTTGTCTTCTTCCCAGTCCCAAAAGAATATCCGTCTCTGCTCCTGTTTAATAGAAAGCCTTCCATTTCTGCCCTCACCCCATCTCCTTTTGCCGCCCCAGGGCCTTCGTTCTTCCAAATGTTCTGTCCACCTGCCACTTCATCAGTTTTCCATGTTACAAGTACTTTCACATCCACTCAGGAACACGTGTTGCACTTCACAATGTCAGGCAACCATAACCTTCACTTCTATGTCCCAGCCCCCCATGCCAACTAGCTCATCTCTGCCGTCCATCACAGCCCCCAGGGGAGCTCCTGCACTCAACATCACCCCTTTTATCTTCTCATCCTCTACTTTTTGAAAGTTTTTAAATTGTGGAATATATGCAAATAAAAGATGTTAAGGAATATACATGGATGCACGTTCCAATGAATGGGAATTTAAAAATGCCCATCTTTGAAACCCTTTATAGGCTTAAGAAATACAATATTATCACTCTTTGAAACTTCTTACTTGTTCAACTATCACTGCATGCCTCTCCTTTCATTTCAATCACCATGATTTTAAATTTGTATTATTTTCTTATTTTTCTATAGTTTTTAAATTACATATATTTATCTTTGAATGAAGATAAGACTATTTCACAGAGATTAAATTACATTTTAGGTGAAATAAATGTATGCAAATTGAAGTATATTGTTGTTTAATTTTTGTGATTGGCTTCTTTCAAAACATTGTCTTGAGATGCGGTGATAAAATAGTTAAATGAGGAGGCAGTTTGACTAGAGTAGCACTGGTGCCTTTGGTAGCCTATGTAAACAAACCAAAGCCAGAGTCAACTAGATTTTTCTCAACTCTGAGAAAATGAAGCTCAAGAGCAACTAACACAACAGCCAAATAAACAAAATGTCCCTAAATAAGGCAATTTATGTTACAGCCAATTCAGTCCTCCGTTTGCTCCACTTCCTCTTTTCTGGGTGAAAACCCAGCACCGCCAGTGGAGTGCCCTTGCACAGTTTTCAGGTTTGCTGCTGCCTTACTCAAATCATTGTATGCTCAGTTACACCGTGTGACTTCTTACAGAGGTCACGTTGATGTGAGTGTCTGTAGTTGATTTATTTAACTTCTGTATAGTAAGTAGCTCAATGTTACATATTCTACAAATGATATATTCATTCTTTTTCCAACAGATACTTGATCATGTCCAGTTTTGTGCTATTATAACCGATATTGGCATGACCATTCTTAACATTCTTACTACAGTGCAAAATCACCTTCTTAGAACTCAAATGGCTAGATGATAGCATATGTTCGTGTCTTATTTCTTAAGACACATATCTAAATTTCATTTGGATAAATGCCACATTTTGCCCTAAAAACTTTATATTCACACCAACAATGTATGTAAGAGTTTCTATTGCTTTCTATCATCACCACTACCAGAATAATCAATTTTTGCTCATATTTGGTCAATGTGCTATGTGTAAAATAGTATTGTATTGTGGTTTTAAATAAAATTCCTTTATTACTAAGCAGTTGAACACCTTCTGAAATGTTTATAGCCTATTCGTGTTCTTATTATCCTTACTTCTATCTTCTACCCATTTTTCTGCCTATTGTCCTATCAAGTTTTTTTTAAGATTTTATTTATTTATCTTTAGAGGGGAAGGGAAGGAGAGAGGGAGAGAAGCATCAATGTGTGGTGGCCTCTCGTGAGTCTTCTGCCAGGAACTGGCCTGCAACACAGGTATGTGCCCTGACTGGGAATCGAACCGCGATCCTGTGGTTTGCAGGCCCACACTCAATCCACTGAGCTATGCCAGCCAGGGCCTGTCCTATCAAGTTTTTTAATTTTTAAATTATCTGTTTGCTATTAATCTCTTACTTAAATATGCTACAAATATGTGCTACAAGTTTGTAGCTTGAATTTTATCTCTGTTTATGGTATCTATGGATTAAATTTCTTTATCTTAATTTAACAAAATGTATCATCTTTGTAATTTGTGGCTTGACTTTGCATATATATAGTTTAAGTCCTCTAACACTTCAAATATATATGTGTATGTGTGTATACATGTATATGTGTGTATATATATATATCTTCTTATACTTTCTTTTGAATTAATACATTGCTTTTTCTTTACCATTTATGTCTAGATCACATAAAATTGATATTTTAAAGCTATATGAAATACAGATACATGTCTTTTTGGTAATGAATACTATCTACATTAGCAACATTTGAAAATAATATATCCATTCTCTAGTTGTCTGAAATGGTTGTTCATTCGTATATCATGTTTTTGTTCAAGTGGGACCTGTTCTAGATCCCCTTTTTTCTGTCAAATTAGAAAACTTGTTTCAATCTGCATTGATACCATTCTACTTTTTTAAAACACAGTACCAGGAGATAGTTTTATTACTAAGACTTGGAGCACATAGTCTTATTCTCAGTACTCATACTTTACAGAGCTGTTTTAATGTATTCATTATGACATTTTCCTGCTACTAAAATGTATTCCTGATATCTCATCTAAAATCCTCTCCTGCTCCTTTCTCACATTTAAACTGAATTCAGATTCTACTCTTGCTAGTACTCATTGATGTAGCTTGGGTCTCTTTGAACTGTGTTAATGAACATTCTTGAACCCTGAACCATGGTATTTCCCAGTCTGGAGCTGTCACCTAGGATGTCACCTTTGGGTTTGTACAGAAGGATTAAACCAGAAGCATATCTTGCCCCGCCACCATCAACCTGACACTGTCTCTGTATCATTTCGAGTTCATTTTGTCAGCATCACCTGTGATTTGGGTAGTAATTATATAATTTATTATTCAAACAAAACAAGTAAAAGGAGGTGCTATTAATAATTATTAGGGAATAAAATTAGTAAAGCAAGACTGCCCTAAGGAACTGAGGTACATGGTCATGAACACCCCATTTGGTATCAGGTCTCCTGGTTCAGGCCCATAGACTTTTTTCCTCCAGCAATTTTCATGACAAAGTATTTGAGTCCAAATACCCGTTTTACTTTTCTAACAAATATAAATTATCCCCAAATATTCTTCTATTATTATATAAATGAATAAATTTAAAGAGACTTTATTTTAAAAGGCTGTACGCTGACTCCTTCCAGATGATCCTGACACGTAGATCAAGTGACAGACATTCGATCACACATGTAGGTATAGAAATGTAGCTGAGGTGATGACATAGGCTTGGTGGCTGAGCAGACCACAGTCTAGTGCAGTGCTAGACTCAAGGGATGGAAGACGCCTGGCTGTTGCCATTTCGTGTGCATTTAGACCCACAATTAAAAATTACTATATTTTGGTCCTGACCTCTACCTTGGTTACTTTTTCATTCAGAATTCAGACTGACCACTGGCTGGTTGACCACGAATGTGGAATCCATACCAGAGCCCCATGGTCCTTGATTATGGAATGAAGTGATGTGTGTCAGTATTTCCCAGTTATTTTTCTTCTTCTTTTATACATTTATTCTTTAATTACAGTTGACATACAATGTATTATTCACAGGTGTACAACATTTAACCCCCTATTAAGTCTAGTACCCAGCTAGTCTTGAAGTAGTATTTGAAGAAATGGGTGTGGGCCAATATATTCATTAAGCATTGTCTACTACGCACCCTCTTAAAGATTCACCAAGAGGAGTGTGGAAGATCTGAAATGTGCTGGACTCTAAAAATGTACTTGTTTGGTTCTCTGCAGACTTGGAAATAATTAATGATGTTGTCAGCTCCCATGTCACTATCCAGCGTGGGCGGAAGTAGGTGCCAGACACTGCAACGAGAAGTGGGTGTGTATAGGCAATTTTGTAAGTGCAATGCTAAAGGACTCTTTGTTGATTTGCAGAAATTGTAGGTTTGGCATCCTTGCTTGATCCAGGGGCTCTTCCTCCAACCACATAATCCCCAACATGTAACTTTGTATGTGGAGGCATTATGTAGCCCTCCTTAGTGTTACATCATTGAATTAAAAATGCTTCTTCTTTTTTTATGGTATCATGAGGACCCTGACCCTGAATTGATACAGCTCCCAAGCTTATCTGTGTCTTCCAGTATTTTTCCTACAGTGATTTGGGTTTTCTCAGGCTCTATAGTAAACAATGTTACACCTCAAACTCAATCCACATGCTAGATATTCCATTTAAGTGAGTGGTAATGACAAATTACCTTTCACTTTTTCCATGGACTTTCTCTAACCCAGTTAATCTCAACCATTTTTTTACATTTAATATTATCAAATCTCATCACATATATAATTTATGTTCATTAAACTATAAATCTCTTTATTTCATTTGCTCTCATAATTGAAAATCATGTAAATTAATATCCTGAATGTTAAAGCTATATATGCAAAACTCTGTATACCTTATTACATGGGTTATTTAAGGAGTTTTAAGAGTATTTATAATAATATGCAATTTTCATTTTAGTCATTAACTTTACAAACAGCCCATTGTATAAGCAGCTATGTAAAAAAAATTGTTGTATGGCTTTAAGACCAAAAAAACCCCAACATTTTTCAGCAGGGGAAATGGCTAGTTACATTGTTAATAGAGAATTTAAACAATTTATGAATTATCTAATTAATTTTTGTGTTGAGGAGTAATGCCCATATGCCAAGTCTACTTTTCACCGCTGTATAAGAAGTTGAATATGAATTCTGTTGGAACTTTTCTATTGGGTCTAAGACACTTGGGCAGCCTTGTTTCCTGGAAAATGCGCTGATCTCCTCTAGATTTAATATGCTAGTGTGTTTCATAGATAGTAGAATTTACAACTTTTTAAAAAATCACAAGTGAATATTTTTTATCTACATGTTATATTTTTATAAAGAAAATGTTCATTCAGGACAATTTTCAATTTAAAGTTCTCTACTAGTGCTCTGAAATTATCAGTTTTATTTTATATATTTTCTTGATTATGTATTTCTACCTGAGTTTTAGCATCTTAAGTTTTATAACGCAAGGTTCTAATCATATCTATATTAAGTAAAATTTTTCATACAATGTAAGAATATTGAGTTCATGATAAACCTCTCTTTCAAAGTTTGCTATGTCTGTGTGAACATTCTGATCTATAATTTGTAAAAGATATTTTCAATAAGTTACTCACATTGTATTTCTGATTTTCTCAGATATATTCACTAATCATATACTCTGTCTCAAAAAAAGAGCAGTAAATAAAAATGGACTTGTTTTGTGTACTATTTGTTTTATGTACCATTTGTTGTAGTACCATTTTCAATATTTAAGGAGCTCTAACTAAGAAAAATATTACATTATGCATACAATTGAGGTTTAACTATAAATCTTGTATGCAAAGTTTACAGAAGTGTTAAAGACCACTCTGCCTGGTTCTAGGAATTGTATCTCGACCTCTTGTGACTAAGGGTGAGGGACCGACCACCTTTGGAATTCAAGCCATAGGAGACAAAGCTTGTCTCTGGTAGCAAAGGCTGCCTCAGTTTCCTCTCCCTGCCCCCAAAGCTTGGTCGAAAGTCAATGACCGGTAAGAGCCCTCACAGTGGGGAGCAACCTAAGCCAGACTCCATCACTTGGGAGGCCTTCATGGAAGGACTCGGGGGGCTGCAACAAAGAGCAATGGACTCTCACCCCCCCCACCCCCTGCTTTGACATAGCCTGAGTCCCCAGGTTCTCTGGGAGAAGTGCTTCCTGACTCTAACCCCCTAAAGCCTGAATACCTGATGGGGAAGGGTGCGGCTCCTTGCCTTGCTAGAGCCTGTCCTGGGGAAAAATCTGGCATTACAAACACTTCCTGATAAATCTGTGAAATCTGCTCTGCTAAGAGTGTTTTCACTCATATGTTAAGGGTTTGAGCGGGGAAACCCTAAAACTCTGTTCCTGACAGACTCTGACTCAAACTAAGCCCTCGGATTTCTTTGAAATGTTATCTACTGTTTGATCCTTGCCGCCCTGTATTCCTGTGTATTACAACTCAATAAAAGGCCCTGGAGGAGGGGGCTCAATGTCTATTTCTCCTGACAAACTGGCCACTGCGCACGGCCTTCTTCCTCTGCGAAAATGGCCACTTCTCCTCCCCAAGCAGATCACATCATGTCTCAGTCATGATTACTCTCATATATTGCAGCTGGGGGGACTTGCAAGGAAGGTCACACAGAAGCTAAAAGTACTATATATTTTTTCTAAAATTAAATATATGCAATTATGCCAAAATAATTTGTATTAAGGCCACCTATTAGGTACTTTATAGAAACAAGAAATACTGACAAAATCATCAGCATTTCTCCCTAAGCATATTGTCCAAACTACTATGGAAATGAATGCCATTGTGCATTACAATTGTCAGTCAATATTCATAATCTGATAATACATGCCTTGACATGAAAACTGTGACATCACAACAGTAGTATTAATAAAATTGGAGGGAGTTTCATTGTATTAAAGACAAAATGACTTGACTGGTAAACAAACTATGTTGCCTACTGGTTTGATCAAGTGATTAATCATTAGGAAAATTAAATCTAATGAGTTTAAAGAGACTGAAGAGTCACTTAACACTACACAGAATGGGAAACAAAGACACAAACAGCTCTAAAAGGGATTGTGATCTGGAAAAATTAACATTTACAAATAAAAAGTCTATATATAAATTTTAATAAGGATGAACTCACAGAAAATACAAGGTTAAATAATTATGCATATTATTTCAACAAGTTAAATAATCATGGCAAGAAATATTTGGTAAGTCAGCTTTAAAAATTAGCATTAGCAACATCTACAACAGAAAACTTAAGTGAGTAAGCTGCTGAAAAACACTTTTTGTGTTTTTGAAATTTCATTTAACATACTTGCTTTTACTTGTTTTTCACTTGGTGCTGTTAAGGACAAGAAATAATAAAGTCTAAATACACATCCACTGGTCTCTCTAACAGTTTTAAGGTTATTTCCATTTTTTAAAGACTGTGTTATAACCTTGGAAACTGTTAAAAATAGGTCTGTAGAAGAGAAAATTAAACACTGTGCCATTTCCTTTGATATACTTTAACTATATGCCATAAGCCATAGATATTTTCTGATATTCATATACATTTTTCCAATGCAGAATGCTTATTCACAACACATTCATTTTGTTTTCCATTCTAAAATACCTAAGAATCAATAGTTTTTACATACAAGTCAATTCTTTTTTTCCTTAAAGCCTACAAGATGGTATGAAAAGAATAAAATGAATTGATAAATTATCCAATGGTTCCAATTTTTAAAATAAAGCTAGTTATTGCTAAGCTGCTACATCATCATGAAACCCTAGAATGGGCAGGTTATGATTTTAAGGAATTTAAATGATTGTATTTTGTCAGGTTCAATACTAGACAATAATATTTAGCTATTACAACTCTTGAAACTGATTCCACCCATAGTCCTGCTGTTGCTTCTCTGTGTTTCTATGTTGTAAACTTTATTGGAGCTTTCTACATGTGTGCATAAGTGAGAATATGTGTTATGGCTCACATATAGGAATGTTACCCCTGAACAGACACTGTTTTCTGTGAGATAAACAAAAAATATTCCTTCTTAAATGGTAATATCAGTGTTAATGTGAAATTATGAAATTTATGACTGTTTCATATTGTACATTAGTTGAAAGTCATTCATATTTAAAATTTTTAAATAAATATGTTTATCCTATTTGATATTTCTCTTTCCATTTAGTCAACCACTACCAAGTGCCCACTATATGCCTGACTTTATAGTAAGTGCTCTGGAGATAAAGATATAAAAATTAATTCTTACCCCCCAAATTCTGGTTATTTAAAGTTAAAGAAAAGATAATGTGATTACTACAGGATATCAGTGTTTTTATGAAAAAAAAATGATATTATGAGAATTAGTTGGAGAGTTACCCAACAGAATTTGGATTTTCTGAGGAAGATTTACAAACTTTGAATAATAATAAGAAGAAATATCACTTCACACCTATGGTAGTCCTTGTCTGTGGCAAGAACCTTACCTTGTCAGGGGTAAAGTATAATTGAGCTATATTTGCATGATTATTTATATAATATTGAGTAAATGCTATTTTCATTTAAGTACATTAAAATAGCAGGAGTGACTAATAGAAATTATATTAAGCACTGACCATCTCCACATAGACACTAGAAAAATCAGTGAAATTTTCTGAGTAGAAGTTTGCCAGGCAAAATCAACAGGTTAAGGGGACAGGGTAGAGGCAAGCAACGAGGAAAAAGGCACAGCTGTAAATAAACAACATTAAATACAATAATAAAATAATGAAATGAGATCAATGAAAAATTTTTTAAAATTGCATTTATTTTCATTTGAAACAAATTATAAGGCAAGTTAAATGCTAGAAACCTCTTAGAAAACTATTTTGTATCTATACTAACTGCATTTTTACTTTTTGTTTTTATGTTTGCTTTTCTGCTTGTCTGATTCTGAATTCAACTTTTTCACCATTAGACTATAAATATGTTGAAGGAAAAACCTATTCTCATTACAATTCCCCAGAGTACTTAAGAAATGTTATTAAGTAACACTTGAAATAGGGAAAGAATATTTGCTGGAATTGAATCTTTCCTATTTTAAAAGCAAACCAGTAACAGATGCATTCACAGAAAGTGTTTTGGTCTTGTTTCATTTGTATTTTTGTTTGTATTTTTTTTTGCATTAGGCTGTACAACAGTGTCTTTCAATCACTGTATAGATGAACCTCGGGGAACGAGTGTGGTTCTCAGGAGGGTGCAGATTCTGATTCAGTAGGTCTGGAGTGGGACCAGAGATTCTGTTTTGTTTACAAGCTTTCAGGTGGTTCTGATGCTGCTGGCTTACAGAATTCACAGAGTAACAAGAGTGTAGAATATTATTTGTCTTTCATTTTTCAAAGCTTCCTTGGTGTTAACTCTATGTGAAGAACTTGGACAAAGGACTATGAGAGAGAAGAATGTCCTACCCTTTCCTGTCATGGCCCTTCTGCCTTGTGGGAGGTTGCAGCAATAGTAAACACTGGGTCTCAGGAAGAAAGAACCAGCAACACTGGTCTGACTCACCTGAATGTTCCTTCTTTGGTGATTTTGCTGTATCGACAAGAAAAGAAAATAGGTCATCATGCTATTTGATTCCGATTCATTATTCAATTGCAAATAAATAACTTGAAATTAAGAAAATAGAGCTTAAAAATTTAAAAGCAGTTACCTGGTACTGCATCTTTTTCTTTCTTTTCCTGTTCTGAAACATATTATTAGTATTATTATTACAGTTCTGTGTCACAACTTAATTGTTTTAACACAAAGAAATGTGTGTGCTAATTCAAGACTGCAGCACGTAATAATAAATGCTATAGAAAGACTAATAATGTATATTTAGAACAAGTCTTTCAATGTATTTTTTTAATTTTAATTGTTCAAGTACAGTTTCTGCCCTTCCCTGTATTTTCTTCCAGAGTTTCCTCACAGAACAGCATGAAAATATTCTGAATATTAGAGCAATTAATTTTTCTCATGGATATTTAACCAGAAAAATAAAATAGTTTATAAAGCATAGAAAATGTAAATTTGTTTTTATATCAACATAAAATAAATTTGGGGTAAAAGTAAGCACAAAGGATACTTATTGTAGCTGTTCTGAAATGATTTTCAGATGTAAATGGACAGATTTCATATAGACTTCTTCTAGGGTGATCTTTCTTATATTGAAGCAATAATTATTTTGCTAAGACAAAGGCTTTACTGAAAAAGATTTAAGAGAGTAAAATAGACTAGGAGTTTTCAGAGGGAGCAAAACACATTCCCTTGCTTATAGGACAAATATTCCTTATCAAGTCCTTTCCAGCTATTGTTCCTTTGTAAGAACTCACTTTTGTCAACATTGTACAAGACAAAACATTATTCTGGCCTCAAGAACAAACTGGCATTTACATTATAATAACTAATTCTATATAAAGCATAAGTACTAATTTCACAGAAAGTGCTGTACATTTCTATTTTTATTTAGTTTGATAAGCCCGTAGAATTAATTTGAAAGAGAGTTTTCAAGAAATATTTTAACTCACAGTATGATTCATTTTTTTATAGAAGAAGAATGGAAAGATTTCTTCAAGTTCTGTTTGATGAGTACATTTTGGAGACTAGAAGATGTTTATGCAGAAAGAACTGTAAGAACTACATTTTAAAAACATAAAGTGTCATCAAATGAAGCACATAATCTCTCAAGTGCGAATGTATTCATCCCCCATGAGAGCACCAGGTGGGAAAACAAATGGCTTGGCCCAGGGTTACACGTTAGAGGAGGAAGTTTAGGCAACTTCGCAAAATCTGACAAAAGTTGTCTGGAAAATATGAAGTAATTAAATGTATAGCTTAATTTATGGCTGGCGTAAAACACCAAATAGAAAACAGTTATAATAACTCTGTAAAGTGATGACAATAAAAAATATACTTCAGGCAGTTTTGGGCTGCATCAAAACCAAACACCATCTAAATGTGAGATGTCAAAGGTAAAATACGGGCCCTTCAGTCATATCAAACAAGGGAAGTGCTGTACTAATCTGGAACAATAGGCAGGAAGGGGTTATTGAGACCATTTATTGAATGGATTAATTTAAAAAATAATTATTAAATTACCTTTGATAAACATAGATTAATTTAACAATTAATTCTACAGGACCTTCAAAATCATGTCCATGAATGACTTTTTGAGTTTTTGAAAATTTTTGTTTTTCTGAAAAAATTATGAATTGCAAGAATTTACAAAAATCTGTAAAGGAAGGTCTCATGTACTCTTCACCGTTTCCCCTACCACGACATGATTTATTTTAGCCCCCCAAAAAAGTACCACTTCTTAAGCTGTGTTAATTAGAAGAGTAGGATTCAAATAAGAATATAGGGTTGAGGATTTGTAATTGAATGAAGCAATCCTAAAGACAAAAAACTAAATCAAACAAATTCAGAGATGCAAAAATAACAATAACAATAATAAAAATGTCTTGATGATAAACCAGAACAAATATATTACTTTGAAAAGAATTAATAGTTGTTTAGAGGACAAATCTTTTTCTTCTCCTTATTACTGCCCAAGTCAAAATCCACACAACTTTCCAAGGAGGAAGGCAGTTGAGATATAAATAAACATCTAAGAAGGCTTATCTATATTAACTACATCAATATACCCTAAATTGCTAAGTTATCACAGCATGTCTACAGGAACTTTTAAAAACATATAGACTGTAGTAAAGTGAGGTTCTTAAGGAGACCTTATATATATATATATATAATAAATATATACTTAACTATATATTTATATTTTATGTATAAATATACATACAAGTATATATATATAATTCAATACATATACACTGCAATAAAGTGAGAGCTTTAAGGAGATTATATATATATGCATGCATAATATATTATATATTTAAATATATGTTATACAAATATAAAATTATATATATAATTCAATACCCTATTTTTAAATCTCCATATATATGGGTTGAAATTATATATATAATTATACAGATATAATTTAATATCATTTTTTCAAATCTCCAGTTGGCATTCATTTGCCTGTTGATGCAATGGTTTACAGAGTGGTTTCTGCATTCATGCGCCAGAGTTCATGCTGGAATTCATCAGCAGCTGTGCACACCATTAAGTCTGGGACTGAAGGAACACGTCCTTCTTAATAGAGATGTTGCTCCCCCTGGCTGAGTTGTAGTGTAATTTCATGATTCTCTCCACAGGATATTTTAGAGCATTTTTATAACATAGACTTTCTCAGTGTCCTGACCTTTGGAAGAGCAAATTATGCATAAATTCTTTTATATTGGTGTGTACTTAAAATATGTTTTTAATATTACTGGAATCTTTAGAAGCTCTACATACCTAAGGAATGTGATGATTTCTAAGGTTAATTGAATATGGTTAAGGTAGTTTTTTTAAAATTTCTGCTTGTTCAATATATCCTATTTTCCTTAGAAGAGAGTATATATTTGCAAAGGACATGACCTCAAGGCTTTACTGAATTTTTAGCAAAAAGCTCTAATCCTGTGTATTAGAGCAACAATGGATACCGCTTAAAATATGGATCCCAAGCAATGGAGTTCAACAGAGCTCCTAGTAGCACTTGGAGGAGGAAAAGTCATGCTATGGACAAAATGTAACATATCCTGGGACCACAACAAAACATTTTGGATTGCAAGAATCAAAAAATAGAAAAGAAGCTGTAACACTAGCCTGAAAAACTATTTCTATTCAGTCTTTTCTATGGACACAACTAACCAGGTAATAGGGATTAAATTTACACCAATGTAGTACAGTTTCAGTTAATGGAATGCAGATGTATTTTAGTTCACAAGGCTGTGGATAATATTATTGGGTGACTGCATGAGTTTGAAAAATGACTCCAAGAATGATTGCCATGCCTTTCAGTTCACTCTAACCCACCCTGACCCCCATGCTGTGCATTCCTTATTCCTGATAAAAAACAGCAAATAGTTTACATGCATAAACTATAGAAGACAGAGATTCAAAACACCAAGTCTATGCATGCCAGGCCAATAGTACTAGGAAAGAGAAAAAATACATATTTGCATGCATTTCCTTACTTTTTCCCTTGGGTTGTTCTGCTGAAAGAAATATAAACACAAAACCATTACTCTTAAAACCTTTAAAGATAAAGGGTCCTCCCCAACACACTGAATTGATTGTAATTTTTACAACCACTACCCACACCTCTCCCTTTCAATTACACAGTGAGTTTGCTTTGAGGTATTGCTGATTTCCTATCATAGATGTTCCCTTACTTTGATTGTAAAATACTATCTGAGAATGAAATAATTTAAGATTATACTATCTAGCCACTTTAAATAATTTGTGCCTTGAAATCTTCATAAATACATGTGAACACAAAAGCACATGTGAAAACATAAGCACCTATGAATAAACACAGAAGAAATAGGTATACTGGCCATACAAGTAATGACTCAAGAGTTAAAGAAACAATTTAGTTTTCTAATTGATGCTGGTGTATCCAAGATTAATTGAATCTATACCCTCTAGTGAAATAAATGCTTGGTACTAAGCATTGTTCAACTTTTTTGCAAGCAAATATTTCTTTGAACAATTATTGTGAAATATAAACATATACATTATTTTTTATCGCTGCTCAGTACTCCTCATAGCAATATTGTCAGAAAAGACTTACTTTTTCTCATTTGTTCCTCTTTCTCTCAATCTCAATATTTTCTCTCTATTCTATATCCCATATATATATAGCTTTTATATCTGTTAATCCTTTAAGAAGTAATTTATAAGACAGAATCAGTAAATATTTCCAATACCTTCTGCAGGTGCTTTTGTTTTCTTGGAATCTGAAAACACAAAGAATAATTGATAAAGCAGGTAAGGTCAATCAACAACTGATTACTTCACAACAAAATGTCCCTTCACTCTGAACACATTTTTAATAAAATGGATTGATTACATGATACATTTTTTAAATTTCTGGATTAAAGAGAAAATTTTTAAGAGGATAAATATTAGAATGGGGCAGGAAGTTGGGAAACTTTTAAAAGTATAAAATATAGAAAAATATGAAAGACTATCAATGTACAATTTGTAGATATTACATTGTACCCACTGAAGCTAATAATCTTTACACAGAAAGTCAAACTAAGCAAATAGGCGGTCTGTTTTCCTACAGATATGTTGGAGTCCAGGAGTTTTAAATTCCTTCATTTTTTTCAATCTCTAGCAGCCCAGGTGAAAATGTTGCACTCACTTTGAATAAGCAATACATTTTCCTTTTTTAATATATTTTAATTGTATTGATTATGCCATTACATTTGTTCTATTTCCCCTTTTCATCCCCCTCCACCCTGCACACCCCTCCCCCACCATTCCCCCCATTTAGTTCATGAACACATGTCTCAAGTTCTTTAGATTCTACATTTCCCCTACCATTCTTGCCCTCCCCCCCATCTATTTTCTACCTATGGTCTATGCTACTTATTTTCTGTACCTTCTCCCCTCTTCTCCTTCTCCCACTCCCCTGTTGCTAACCCTCCATGTGATCTTCATTTCTATGGTTCACTCCTGATCTAGCTGTCCTTTTAATAAGCAATACATTTGCAATGTAAACATTCAATTCTTCCTATTGCATTGGTAAAGAAGCCAGTGGTTGTTGGCTCACAGGTTACTAATGAACACATTTCTTAATAACTGCTTTTTAGTAACATGTATTCAGTGGTCAGCAGATGCCTGTTTTATCTTTGGTCTTTTGGGTATTCAGTTTAGATCTGAGAAACTTGTTATTTCCAGTATATAGGCCATGAAACTATCTGTTCCTGTCACTTTAAAATAAAGAGGTATTTGACCTTCTTTGTTTTAGGATGGAGGCATCTTAACTTTGATTTTTTGCTTAGAATATTCTATGTCTTATATTATGTCTTTTTTATTTTACTTCTGTAACTGAATTTTGATATTCTCTAAATTAGTGAAATTATAATTAGAATAATGAACTACAAATTGCTACTTACAAAAGGTGGGTAAATTCTTTTCTGGTTGATTGGTTTTTGGAACCTAGAACAGTTAACACCCATCATCCATTTGCAAGTTAATGGATTTGTGTGTCTTACAGTGATGGGTTGGTACCATGATTCTCCTTCCACAATGAAGTAATGGACCCAAAATGTTTGAAGATGACAACGAATAGCAGTTTGTTCACAGAAGACAGTTAGATGGTCAACTGAGTGGTTATGTGAAAAAAATTACAAAAAAATGACAGTAACAGTGTAATAAAAAGAACAACCTACTTCCATAGAATTAATTATAAGCTGGAAACACTTTTCAGAAAAACAACTTGGGAAAGTATCTAGAGAGTCATAAAAATATGCCTGATGTAGTAATTCCACTTCTAGATTTCCACTGGAAACTGCAATTACTATTTAAATATATATAAGAATATGCTTTCCTCATGATATTGTTTTATACCTCTAAATAGTCAGAATATTAATAGCACCATCTAAACCAGAGGTATCCAAGCTGCGACTTGGGGGCTGCATAAAGCCCAAGATGACTATGAATGCAGACCAACACAAAATCGTAAATTTACTTAAAATATCATAAGATGTTTCTGTGATTATGTGTTGCAATGAATTTATGTGTGGCCCAGGGCAACTCTTCTTCTTCTTCCAGTGTGGCCCAGAGATGCCAAAGGGTTGGGCACCCCTGATCCTAAACAGTAAGGGTACTATAAAAAAAACACTGTCATTAAAACAATGTTTTTTCAATCTCCTTCTGAATTTATATTTTTTCTGTAATAAGGGTATGTTTCACATATAAAGAAACAACAAGCAAGCCTTATTTTTCAAAATGATAAATTCTGGGGGCAAAACATTTATTTATTTAACAAAGCTTTTTAAAGCAGTGCTGTGTCCAGCATGGCATAGTAAAAACAAAAAGAAATCTAGACTTTATTAGTATCCACCATCTCCCCGACAAAGAAATCAATCTTTTTCTTGCGATTGAGCTTCTCATCGGGAATTATAATGGATTAGGCTAAATTTGATATGTATAACATATATGCTCAGCTAACATTTTTCTTATTCATTTCCTTTGTGAGTAATTAAAAATATAGAAAATATTATGTTAAGCAATTTTGTATAAGAACACAACAAATATCACCTTATTCATATACTTAACAATATATTAATAGTATACAGTACCTGTTTCTGTTTGAATATATAGATTCTTTTTTTCAGTTTTTGTTCATTTATATTATTAATTTTTAGGGGTGACATTGGATAATAAACATACAGATTTCAGTTATACAATTCTATAATACATCATCTATATATTTTTGATTGCGTGTTCATCATACAAATCAAGTCTCTTTTTTCAACAATTATTCTTTTTCACCAGCTTTTGGGGGGAGGTTCATTTAAATGAATTTATTTTTCTTTCTTAAATTTATTTTTTATTTTTATTTTATTACAGTTGTCCCAATTTCCCCCCTTTGCCTTTCTCCACCTAGCTTCCTCCCTCAGCTCAACCCCCCAGTCAATCCCCACACCGTTGTCCATGTTCATGGGTCTTTTATACATGTTCCTTGACTAGTCCCTCTTCCTTCTTTCCATCATTATCCATTCCCCATCCCCTCTGTCCACTGTCAGTTTGTTCTATGTATCCATGTCTCTGATTCTATTTGCTTGTTAGTATATTTTGTTCATTAGATTCCTTTTATAAGTGAGTTCATATGGTATTTGTCTTTCACTGACTGACTTATTTCACTTAGCTAAGTACTCTAGTTCCATCCATGTTGTCCTAAAAGTTAGAAGGTCCGTCTTTCTTTCTGCTGCATAATATCTCATTGTGTAGATGTACAATTTTTTCATCCTCTCATTTACTGATGGGCACTTAGGCTGTTTCCAGCACTTGGCTATTATAAAGAGCAGTGCTATGAACATAGGAATACATAATTTTTTTTAAATTGGTATTTCTGGATTCTTAGGGTATATTCTCAGCAGTGGAACCACTGTATCTAAAGGCAGCTCCATTTTTAATTTTTTGAGGAAATTCCATACTATTTCCCACAGTGGCCACAGAAGTCTGCATTCCCACCAACAATACACTAAAGTTCCCTTTTTTCCACATTTTCATCAGCACTTGTTTGTTGCTTTATTAATGATGGCCATTCTGACAGGTATGAGGAGATACCTCAATGTGGTTTCAATTTGCATGTCTCTGATGGCTAGTGATGTTGAGCATCATTTTATATGTTTATTGGCCATCTCTATGTCTTCTTTGGAGAAATGTCTATTCAGACTCCTTGCCCATTTTTAATCGCATTGTTTGTTTTCCTGGTGTTGGGTCATATGAATTCTTCATATATTTTGGAGGTTGTCATTGTCCAATGTATTACTGGCAAATATGTTCTCCCACATGGTTGGTTCCATTTTCATTTTGAGGATGGTTTCTCTAGCCATGCAGAAGCTTTTTAATTTGATGTAGTCCCATTTATTTATTTTTTCTTTTATTTCCTTTGCCCGAGGAAATATATAGGCAAAAATACTGCTACATGGGATATCTGAAACTTCACTACTGATGTTTTCCACTAGGATTTTATTGTATCATGACTTATATTTAAGTCCTTTATCTATTTTGAGTGTATTCTGGTGTATGGGGTAAGTTTGTAGTCTAGTTTCATTTTTTTGCATGTACCTGTCCAGTTCTCTCAACCATTTATTGAAGAGGCTATTTTTACCCTATTTTTATGCTTGTTCCCCTCTGTCAAATATTAATTGACCACAGAGGCATGACTTTATTTCTGGGATCTCTATTCTGTTCCATTGATCAGAATATAAGACATGGTATAATAATAGACATTATTCTTATACCAGTACCAGGCTGTTCTGATTATGATGGCATTGTACTATCATTTTTTAAATAAAATATTGTAATCCCTCTTAATTTATTCTTCTTTCCCAAGATTACTGAGTTTATTCAGAGTCTTTTTTGGTTCCATATATATTTTTGGAGAGTTTCTTCTAGATCAGTGAAATATGCCACTGGTATTTTAATAAGGATTGCGTTGAATCTATAGATTGTTTTGGGTAGTATGGGCAATTTAATGATGTTAATTATTCTAATCCATGAACACAGTATAAACTTCCATTTATTTGTGTCTTCCTCAGTTTCTTTCTTCAGTGTTTTATAATTTTCCAAGTTCAAGCCTATTACCTCCTTGGTTATATTTATTTCTAGGTACTTTATAGTAAATACAATTTTTTCATAGTTTCTCTTTCTGACAGTAAATTGTTGGTGTATAAAATGTCATTATTTTCTGGACAACATGGCCAAAATGAATAAATTTCTAAAAACATACAATCTTTCAAAACTGATTTATGAGGAAGCAGAAAGTCTGAATAGACAGATAACAACTAGTGAAATCAAATCAGTAATCAAAATACTCTCAGCATACAAAGGCCCTGGACTGTATGGCTTCACTGGCAATTTTTACCAAACATTTAAAGAAGAACCAAATTCAAAAAGGAGTACAATCGAGGGTGGGAAGTGGGGATGGCTGGGGTGGGAGAATGGTGGGGGGAAATGAAGACAATTGTACTTGAACTACAGTAAAAAATTTTCAAAAAAGGATAAGAACTAACTCCTGTTCTCAAAATATTCTAAATAATTCAAGAACAGGGAAGATTACCAAACTCTTTTTTAGAGGCCAGTATTATCTTAATTATCTTAATTGCATATCCAGGTAAAGACACAACAAAGGAAGAATATTACAGGGCACTATCTCAGATGAACTAAGTGCTAAAATCCTCAACAAAATATTAGCAAACTGGATACAGCAATACAT